CACACACACACACACACTGCTTGCATTTAGCTCAAGTAAAAAGCAGCTCACAAATACTTACCTGAGACCTAAAGTGGTCCCCCGCTGGGTGCGGCATACTAGCATTTCCTCAAGCTAATTGCATTAAAGATTCCAGAGACTGATACCAGAAGCATTGATTGGTTGAGGATCGATACCTCTGCCTCTCACCATTCCAGTTCGTGGGCCATGGCGTTATGCAGAAAGGAGCAGGACATCACCAGCATGTGGGACCTGGCCAAAGACCACTCCGGGATGACTTTAGCCTGACTTTAGGTCCACCTGCCCCCATCACTGCCTGCATTCAGCTAAGGTGAAAAACAGCTTCCAGATACTTACCTATGAAGTGATGGGGGGCAGGTGGACCCAAAGTCAGTTTCTGATTCCTGGCAAATATTGCCTTAGTTAGAAAATCCTTTGTGTTCCTCCCCAAAAAATTGGAGACTGATGATCTAGGTGGAAGAGGAGCACCCTGTAGGTGGACTTGGCACTCACTCTATACTCACCTTGTAATTATTATAGCCTTATGTTGTGTGGCTTTTTTATCAGATGTCTAACTATTCCCATCAGTGGCTAAAGCCAGTAGAGCTTTCAATTTGAGATCAATTATAACTAATTTAGTTAATTTACAGATCAAAATATAGAGGAACTTTTATCCGGCAAAAGATTTGTAAAGTATTGTTTATACGCTTGTGAGCCATCCAGGCCTCCTGGTTTATGCGCACCTAGCCTAATGAAGGTGGCATAAACCCCCTAACCCCCCCCAACCACCAAGCATCCCTATGCCCTGCCCCACCTTGTATCTGTTTCTTGATTCTAGAGAGCGTCAAAACAGTGACCAACACAAGATAACCTAAGTACCTCCTGGCCATTGGTTTACAGTGGAGACCGTCCCTATGCAAGCCTAATTCCAGCTTTCAGGTGGTGTACAACAGTTTACCATTGAGGAAATTGCGCTAAAGATTATTGAATACATTTCTGTGCATGTGCCCAGTGTTCTTCTTTAATGGCCAGAAATAGAAGTCATCGGCACTCCAATCAGGGGTGTAACTTTAGATTGTGGGGCCCCATAGCGACCTCCCTACTGTCAATGAAAGTTGGGTAGCTGTCTGCATTGTCTCCTCCTGTACGTTTTATGTCAGCTCTTCCTGATGGGAAATGTCACAAGGGGTACAGGGTCAGTGTCAACAGCAACTTCTGCAATCCTTAATAGGGCCCCCTTCCACCCCCCAGGCCCTGTAGCAGCTGCATGGGCTGCTATGGCTATTGTTACGCCACCGACTCCCAATATCCGGTCTACCATTCCGTCTTTATTGACGTTGGATAGTCGTATCATCATATTGAAAGGCAATGTTTCGGAAACAAATAGGTTCCTTCATTAGGCAAAAACAAAGTGATGAAGGCCTTTTGGAATGCATTCCGAAATGTTGTGATGATATGACTATCCAATGGTAGAGCGGATATTGGAGTGCCGGTGACGTATTCTATTCCTGATTAGGTGCGGCACCATACGCAGTCACTGCAGCACCCACCTGAGGTTTACAGGTTTTTATAGGTCAGTGCGATGGGACTTCTATGCGTTCTTCTTTAATGGTCTACACCAGGGGTAGCCAAACCTCGTCCCTCCAGCCAGGGGTGTCCCTAGTGTTTTAGCTGCAGCATGGGGGGCGGGGGCAGGTCAGAGGTGCACGTTAACAGGGTAGGGTGTATGCGTCCCGCTCAGCTCCTGGCAACCAGTGATATCACTAAGCTGGGCGGGATGCCGGCCAGAGCGTCCAAGGTTGCCCGGCTCTTAGCAACCTGGGACGCTCTGGCCAGAAAGGGAGCGGCAGGCACACGTCCATGCCGCTCTGCCTGTTGCCCGCCCATGTGACCCAAAGAGATGCCACCTGAGGCAACCGCTGCAGGCTCCTTCATTATAGGGAGGGCCCTGCCTCCAGCTATTTTGAAACTACTAATCACATTAGGAGAACTTCTCTGCTCCATGTAAAACAGGCTCTGGTTAGGTTTGAACTCAGAACCCCAATTCTTCCGATTTCTAAGCTGCCATGTTGCTCAGATTCAGCGCTGCCACTCTTTATCACTTTTCTATTTCTTTCTGTAGCTGCGTACACTGAAATGACCTCGCTGAATGTGTATCACTTGAGAACCTTGCTTTGTATTTCCTCCAGTTATCAATGCCTTATCTCAGCGGTACATTCTTCAAGCCAGCGACCAGGAGGATCTGCAGGGATGGGTGGAGGCCTTGAACGCAGCGAGTAAAATTACTGTAAGTACGCGCTGTGACCTCTTTAATATTTTTAGAACAGAGTTCTAATGTACAGATCCGAAAGATTATACGACCTTACCGGGACACGTCAGGTTCTACCCCGACCTATTCTAGTCTAACCAAGCTATAATCTGCTCAGTCACAAGCTTCTCTTACCTACTTCTAGGCCAAGTCCACGTCCCTGAGACACCTGAATCCGCAACAAGCCCAAGAAATCTGATTCATAATGGCTGTTATTATAACCCCTGAGCTCAGAGGCGGCTCTAGAGTTTGTGAGGTGTTAAGCGAGATGGTGAGACCCCACAGAGCCCTGGTGAGACCCCACAGAGCCTTGGTTAAACCAGGGCTCTGTGGGGTCTCATCAGCACTAGGGCTTTTTAGGGTCTCAGCAGGGCTATATGGGGTCTCACCAGCCTGGTTAGACCCCTCAGAGTCCTGGTGAAACCCCACAGAGCCCTGGTTAAACCAGGGCTCTTTAGGATCTCACCAGGGCTCTTTAGGATCTCACCAGGGCTCTCTATGGTCTCACCGTGCTGCGTGGGTTGTGTCTCACCGATGCTGCGTGGGCCGGGACCGGGTCTCACCAGGGATGTACAGGCCTCCTCTCACCAGGACTATGCAGGCCAGTCTGACCAGGGCAGTGCAGGCCGTGTCTCTAATTTGCCTCATTAAAGAGCCGTCTCTGCCTGAGCTGGCTTGTTGTATTTGTTGTATTTATGTATTTCTTATTAGTTTACAAAGTTTTATATACTTTTTATACAATTCCTCCCTCGTGTTTAGAACTAGAGGCAGTATGGCTTATTCTCCCACAGGAAACACCAGCCCACATTTCTCGGGATGACTACATCTCAACAGCTACACAATTCTATTCTATTCTTGAATTGTATCATCTCGAAAATAGTCAAATGTTGTCGCTCTATTAAAACTCAACACCCAGACCATACATTTTACTTCATTTTGGGAGAGGGCTAGACCTGGGGTTGGCAACAGGCCGATGGCAGTTATCTGATGGGTAGATCACGACCCCATCGTGCCGCCCTTCCATCAGAAGTGTTTGCCTCCACCCAGATCAGGACAGCAATAGGCATCCAAGAGACAAGGGAAGTCCTAGGTTCTTCCTCGGCTCTAAAGTGTCACATGACTCGAGGGGAAAACTGGGAGGAAGTTCCTCACTTGGGTCGGGCGCTGATGCATCTGAAGGGAGGGGTAATTTGTGCTGTGGGGGATTTTAGCCTAGGGGGTGAATGGTTTCACTGTAAAG